AAGAAGAAGAAGATATATATATTATTAATCGAAAATTGAAGGCATAGCTAAACGAGCACGAAATATGTATACGAGTATACAACCCTTAGGACAGGTTAGAGCTCGACCTTAGTAGGAATATCACTTGAACAACTTAGAACCTTGGCCCGTAACGGTATACAAAACTCATACATACATAATTGATCATAAGACTCTTTTAAATCGAAAACGCGCTTTCAACATATCACAAATTTGTTGAGGCCGTTAATGTCAGTTTCGGCTAGGTCCCTTGGTTCGCTGACGTTACTTCTGCCAATATATTTTCCTCCGTATTGCAAAAGAGAAGAAAAAAGAAGAGAAGAAATTTCGTGGATTCTTCCACCTAGCCGTTTTCCATACAATCTTAACAACTTATGTCCGACATGATTTGTAGTCTTCTCGATCTGTCAGCCACATTTTGCGGGCGTGCGTTGCCACCAGACAGTGACCAGTTAGTACTCCGTACGCAATATATGTAAGTATTTCCAAATATTTTCAATGTTCACTGTTCCACTATGTACCTTGCCTTAGGCGGTCTCTGTAGCGGTGAGTGTAAAACTTTATCACAGAATAGGGTGTCAGAGATAAGATTAGAGAAATCGGCACTCATATCTTTAAAATTGACATTCCTATGCCCACATTTATTCGACAATGTTTGTCATATTAGCCTGAAGGCGGCAGTATAGTTTTAGTCACGCGGAAGTAACAACATATGACAATAGGAACGCATCCATCATGGGCGAAATAACAGTACGTGAACTCGATCCGGTGCTTCGAGAATTGGCGCGCACAAATTGTAATGAAAATCCAGACACTGTCGTTGAACACATCGAAGTGATAAAAGAGTGGATTAGAAAATCTCCGCATCTGAAAGCATCTAATAATCCACAACTGATTTTGGCTTTCCTGCGTCGGTGTAAATTCAATCTCGAGGACACAAAAAAACGTATTGACAATTATTATGCCATGAAGAATGAATATCATGATGTTTTGTGTGAACGTGAATTGAGTGATGARTTAATTGAGTTCTATCGAACAGGGTGAGTTTCATTTTGTGTTCGGCGTATGTAAGAATCGTGGRCATGAATTTAGTCTAAGATAAAAAGACATAAAAATATGTTTATATTGATTTGGATCGGTCAGTTTATGTGGCAGTTATATGCATAGTAGTTTGATTACTTCGGAGATAGTAGCGTTTCCTCTATATTCAGATATACAGAGATTAATGAATATTCTGATTCCATCGAGGTTTTATAAAATAAATAAAACTGGTTTGTTGTAAGTAATCCTTGGACGGGTTCATGCGAAATAAAGACTGATTTTACAAAACCTTCAATTCTCTCTTAAGATGGTGAAAATCTAAGAAGAAATATTTAGTGTTTTCGTGAAATAAAATATTGTAAATAACACAGATATTATGAATTCAAGAAATCATCTTACTAAACACTTAACATAATCTACTGTTCCAGCATACACGTTATCCCCAAAAAACCGATCGCACACGATGGACCTGCTGTAATGATTTCACAGTACTGTAAAATCGATTTGAAGAAATCGAACCCACGCTTAGCATTCAAATTGCTTTTTATTTTGTTCGAGACTCTGGCTATGGAAAGCGACAATGCCAGTATTGTGGGTCTAACATATATAATAGACTGCCGGGACGTTGGTCTCCACCTAATGACGCAATTTGAACCGTCTACTCTGAAGAAAGGCTACATAGTGGCGGAGGACTGTATGCCCTTAAAACTGAAAGAAGTCCACCTCATAAATATGAGACGCGAAGGAGTATCAGTTTTCAATTTCTTGTCTTCATTGTTGCCCAATTCAATGCATTTCAAGGTGCTTTATAATGTAAAAATACCATGCTGAAAAGTGTTTAAAAGCGTTTTCTTTTTTTACTCTTACAGTTTGTGGCGCACAAAAAGGCAGAGGATTTGCTCGAATGCATTCCACGTGATGCTGTTACCGTCGAATATGGCGGAAACAATGGCTACCTAACGGAGGCTATCAAATCGTTTGAGTCAAACTTATTGTTATATAAGGAGCATTTTAAAAAGGACGGCAATTTTGGTACTAATGAAAAACTGCGAGTCGGACATAAGAAGGAATGGGAACTGGTCGAATYGAGCGGAGCTATTGGGTCGTTTATAAATATAAGTTAAAAATCCGGCAACTGAATTTTTATACAATTTTAATTGTAAATAACTAACTGTTCTTTGGTGTAATTGTAACATTAAAATATTTATACTYCTGTATAACCGCTGTATCTTTTACTAGATTTTTGTTGAGCATACGCTATAAAACCGTGCATGAGTCATTTTATGTTACTATATACATATTTGCACATTTACTATCAGATTTTCGTTCTAAGTAAATATAGCACTCCCTTTCAATACAATTAATCATTTAATTCAATTTCACGTTGTGCACTTTTGCTTAAAGGTCGCATTGAGCGATGACTGCGATGAGCTTTGCGATATATTGCTGTTAATACTTGCTGCTGATGGTGAGGGCGTCACTGGCACATTGTTCTGGGCGTTATGTGTATTGTTGTTGCCGCCTGCGCTTAAGCTAACGCAACTGCTAACCCCACTGCTGCCACTGCTGGTGTTGCAAATGTTATTGTTGGGCAGATTATTATTGCTTTTGTGGTTTCCCGTCACTGCTGTTGACGTGTTTTGCGTTGTAGTTCGACTGATATTCTGCACAATCAAATTCAGGCAATCYAAACTGGAGCCATTTGCCGCCGACGAATCGAAGTCTGTAAAGAATTTTAATAATGATTTGAAAAATATACAACACATAAACAAACTCAATCAAATTTCGACAAATATTTGCGTATAAAATACGGTCCCCTTAAATATAGAAACTTCTGTTAACGGATTATATGAGTTTACGTGTTTCAAAAAACAAAAACGTTTGYTTTATTATCTTATTCAATTCTACAACACCTCTAGAATATTGCCATAWATTTTCAAGTTGATCCGAGTAAAAGTTTCGGAGATCAGCCTTGAGAACTTATGCGTTCGAAGCTAGTTAGGTTAARTGCGTCGTATTTGAACACGTTTTTCTCGAAACTGTGTTTTTGAAGTCGGTTGGCRAGATTTCTCGAGAACTACTCAACCTATCTTCTTGGAATTTTACACAGGTCTTTGATATACAATTCTTAAAAACTTGGATGAAGTATTTATTTTCGATTACAACTATTTGAAATAAAAATGTCGAAAAACTTTCAGGGGAAGGGGAAGGTTTTAACTAAAACACAAATTTTTTTACTTTAGATAATCCTGTAAGGAGTTATCCTCCCAACGTGGGCGTATATTTTTTCTGAAAAGTCACCGGAAATGGCTTCGCAATGGCCGAGTTTCAAATATTTGTTTTAAAAAATTTCTTTGTTAATAGTGTATGCAAAGAACGTACATTTATAGAGAAGGTTCAACTATGGAAAAGCGTGTAAACTGTCAAGAGCCATGAATTTTCGATTAGTGGGTTTCACCACTTTTGGCTCTGCAGGAGAAACTTTAACAGAAATGAGTGAACAGAGCTTAGTATTCAATGAAAATTGTGCTCAGAAATATTCATTGCTACTACAGACGTATGTTGGCCTTTTGGCTTATATTTTTATACGTTAACATGCTATCATATCTATTGATATGGTTATCATTTTGAGAATTTTTATGAATTCATGCAAAATTGATAACATTATTTTTAATTTATGCCATTCTGCAAGCAATTTTTGTAGTTAATGGGTAAATKAGCGTCTTTTTAAATATTTCTTATCTTTGATAATGTAATACAATGTAATATAATTTCATATGTATGCATATATTTGCTATATATGTATGTACATATACGGTATATTATCACAATATCCTAACAAACTTAATATATTACCACAATAATATATAAAA